TGTTTGTTATATCAAAGAAAAGTAGAAGAATTCTTCATTCTTAGAACTTCAACATTTTGAATAGAAAAAAAAGTAATAATATGACCCAAAAACAAACTTAGTCTTCAATAATTTTCAAGTCAAAAACCATATATTCAAGCTGTGTTGGAAAACTATTCTCGTTCTTAATATTTCATATTTTCTTTGGTCATGCAAAATTTTTGTAACTTGAAGACCGGGAAATTGAACTTTGAGTCACTCTCATGTCGACCCCATAAAACCTACCAATAATTTCATTATTGATGAATTGACAAATAAATTAAATCATAAATTTTTGTGATGAGAAAAATATTTAGTGAATATCCATGATAATGATAAGAGACGTTAACTCAATTGGTGATTTGGTGAGACACGTGTATATCCCCGAAGACCACGAGTTCGGACAGTGGCGGATGTAGTATTAAAGTGATTGGCTCAATTGAACTCATAACTTTGGGAGAAATTCAAAAATAGCCAGATTTACCGCTGGTCGTTAAAAAATAGCCAAGTTTCAAAAGTCATCAAAATTTAGCCACTTTAAATCTGAGCGAAAACACTGTTCAAAATCCGGAAAAATACGCCCGCAAATTTTACGGGAGTTCCAGCAGTATGCTTGAACTCCCGTAACTTTTACGGGAGTTCCAGGATAACTATGCTGGAACTCCCGCAAATTTTACGGGAGTTCAAGCATAATTATGCTGGAACTCCCGCAAATTTTACGGGAGTTCCAGCAAGTATAATTGTCCAGTATAATATACTGGAGTTTGGAGCACTGGTGCTCCAGTCTCCCGCAAATTTTATAGGAGTTAGCAAAGTATACCGGTCCAGCATAATATGCTGGAGTTCGTACACAAATGCACCAGAACTCCTGTATATTATACTGGACCGGTCCATGTTGCAGCAAAATAGTGGCTATTTTTCATTGACTTGATAAACGCTGGCTATCTTTCATTGACCAGTGTGAAAACTGGCTATACCATGATATTTTAACCATAACTTTTGATAATTTATAAGTAAAAATTTATCGAATTTGCAAAAATAGCAGATAGAAATTCATAATTTTAAAAATATAATGAGTTTAATGCCAAAAATTTAAAAAATATATAATTCATAAAGTTTAAATTATGAATCTGCCTATGAGTTCGGCGGTACTTGTAGTCAAATTTTAATTGTATAGTTAGTTGGCTTTTTGAATTTTTTACTTTATTGGTGAACATTCGATTCTCCTTGTTGTAATTTCTTTTCTTATTTTTCCTTCATATTTTAAAAAAGAAGTATCAACAAAATAAGTCAAAGATAAAATTCTAAAGGAAAATATAATAAGAAAAATAGAAAGAATAAAAATCCTTCTGTCATTTTTATCGAAAAAATAAATTGACATTGACCTTCATTTCAGTTGTTTAGATGGTTGAGCACTTAATGACTAGGGATGTTCACGGGAGTCCAAAACTTAATTAATAATTTTTTGAACATAAAATACATTTTTGATGTTAAAAAAAAGATACAATAACGGGTATTTCGCAGTTTTATACTGCGAATTGGCTTAACGAATTTTTTGCCGTTAAGGCATTTCGCAGCATAAAACTGCGAAATATTAAAAAAATAATTTTTTTATGACATTTCGTAGTACAGTACTGCGAAATAGGCTGATTTTAGGCTCCACCAAGAATTAACTGACATAACAATAATTCAAATACATAAAACGCAGTATAATACTGCGAATTACTTTGAAAAATTGTACACCCCAAGGTCGGACTTGCCTTATTTATAGGCGCTTCAATTTTATAAAAATTCATTCAACACTTAAACTTCAAACATACGTTTATTCTCTCTTCTCCTTATCAATCAATTTTTTACAATGTATGAAGCGCCAAAAATAAGGGTTTCACTGTATTGGGGGGGGGGGGGTGAGATTGTGGTGGAGAATAACTCTGTGAGGTATAGCTCACTTCCACAGTGTCATGTTAAATTGCCGCTTAATATGGAGTACGATACATTGGTATCGTTGTTACGTAAAAAAATGAGTGAGCGGAGGCGTTCGGTTAGCCTTAAAGTAACCGGTAGATTTCCTTATTCAGTGACTCCGCAGGGGTTTGCTTATTATTCTGAGTTTAACATCGAGGATGATGAAACTCTTAGAGATTTTTTGCGGATTCCGGATGAATACAGGGAATTTATTGTAATAAAATTATTGGAAATGTACGTCAAGGTGGAAGACGTTCCTAGTAATGAGGGCGTGCATAGCAGGGATAACCCCCAGTCATCGGGTGGTTATTCTGGAGCAGCGTTTGCCGGACAGATTGGAGATGAAAGAGCTTGGCTTGATTTAAACTTGTCACCACAGGCGAATGAGCAGCCAGAAAATAATGTTTCCACTTTATATAATCAACAAGACGACCGGTAAACTTCAATTTTACTACGTTTTAGCAATTTTTTTTTCATGTTTTAATTGGATTTATATTAACACTCATATTTTTTATAGGGGGTACCGTCCGGATTTGAATTTTACAAGTTATGACCTCGCCCCTAGTTGGAATCTGCGTAGGTCTGGAGTATTGGACCACGGTGGTCCATCTGGGAGTTATCACCAACCTGAAAATATCCATCATGAAACGTCAAGACAATACGATTTGTAAGTAAAGTGATATAGCGATATCTAAAGTATTTTTCCTGAGTATTGGGTAACTTAGGTTTTTGTTCGTTTTGTGCAGTGAAAACGAGCTTCTTGAAGCTCCTGGCCTCACACAGTTGCCCATAGACGACGTTTTTACTCGTGATTTGGCAGATGCGCAGAGTCAGGAGGATGATAGTGATTATGACAACAATGCGGATGAGTCTGGGGATGAGACACCCTTCCATGATGAGGGTGATGAAGAGGAGGAGGAGGAAGTGAATGTTGAACCTGGCTGACTAGGGAGCATGTTCCTCCACCTCCCGCTAGACCAAGAGTGTATGAGTCCCACGTGCCATTTCATGAGCGAAATATTCCCTACCTTGATAATTTGCCAAGCATGCCTAACGTTGATGCCCTAACAAGGGATGATGATGAATTACGGTCAGAAGATAGTTGTTACTATTATTTACATAAAGCACTATTTACACAAATTTAATACATAAGCAAATCAGTGAGTGTGTGCTTCAGTGCTGCTGCTGGCCTAAGTCGCATCCCCTGTCGCCCGGGCACACTATCTGGATCATCATCATCAAGCCGCCTCTTTATGTGAGGATGTGCAGCAGCATCAACACCACAACTGGCAGGGTCGGAAGAATAGGCCGTCGGGCCGTGAGTAACCTACAAAACAAGAAGTAATCTTAGCATGTATGAATGTATTATTTTATGAAAATGTATTATTATCTTAACCTACAGAATGTACTATTATTTTAAGTAAGAAAATATTTTCTCACCATGGTCTCGTCGACCTCCTGGGTATATGTATCGATGGTGTGCTCATCACCGCATGTAGTGTCCTCAAAGATGGGTTGAGACGAAGACTGCATAAGAAAGTTACAATTAATTAATGGCAGCGATTTAAGGAAAAGAAAACAAATTGAAATATTAAAGTCATACAAACATACTGCATGAACTGCCGGGGACGATGGATAACTCAACCTGCGCCCGCCATCCACGTCCCGGGCAGGCCGACCTCAGCTGCGGTAGATGTGCATGCGAAGTACTGATCTACATCCCCGTCGAATGTACCCATGATCGACAATGCTCCTGACGGGGTGACCTGCGATGCTGGCAAAGATAGATGAAGGCTATATGAAGGCATGCTGCTGGAAGGCTCATCTGCATGAGGGATATAACCCTGCTGGTCATCTCCAAAGCCCCCAACTCCGAACTCCTCGTCATGTGCATCGGCAGGTGGGTCGACAGGTACCTCAACGCCCCCTTGCTGGCCACCTCCTCGCCGTCCCCTGCGACCCCGTGGGGCAGCCCTGCCTGGTGGGGGTCCCCTCGCTGGTGCCCTACCCCTGGCTCGTGGGACTGGCCTACCCCTCTGGTAGGCCCCTGGAGCCACATACTGAGGCTCATGGTCTAACCTCTCGGCATCTCTCGCCTGCAACAGTGTCAGACGAGCCATCTGGGCCATCTCCCGGCCATACTCAACCACTTCAGGGATGTCCGAACGCTGCTGCATCTCCTGTCCCGACTGGTAGATGCGATGAAGCCCAATAGCCTGTGAAACATTTCAAATAGTAATTAAATAACTCTATATCACAATTATAAGATATTAATAAGTCACAAAAACATACCAGTGCCTCATGCCTCCCGGCGTACGGTCTGTAGCGCTCGCCAAGTACATGCACGGGGTTCCCGATCATCAATCGGGTATGGCGGCGGTACCACCCATCATACAGCTGAATAGAGGCCTCCTGGAAAACTGTAGGTGGTAGCGGGATGCGCTCAGCTCGGTCCTCCCAATAAGCTATCTGCTGCTGTAGCCACCCAACATACTGTCGGTCCATGTTCGAACGGTCGTCCCGCTGATAGTGAGTAGGCTCCCATCCAGGCTCCCTCGGTATAGCCTGAGGACGGCCAAACTGTCGAAGCACACGCTCCGTGGCATGATACTCAACAAAATCCCAGAAGATCAACGGGATGGAGGTGCTCCAAATCAACCGGTCGACTGAGCAACAAGCGGGTAGGTGACCAAGCAACTCGATGTTGTATGGCGTCCAGATGAACTACCAATAGTAACATAAAAATGAGTACGCAAAACACAACTCAATTTAAAACAACCAAGTATAGGTACATATTTACCTGTCCGTCCACCAACATATCTAACACATCCCTAAGAAGGGGGAGATTATGGTGAGCATCCGTCCCTCGGTAGTTCCCACGCCGGAGAATCCACCTGATAGCTAGAGGGAGAAACGGATAATCCTGACCGGGCGGAAGTACTGGTAGAGGTGGCTGCAACGGCATGATCCGCTGCCAGGCCCAAACCTAAGATAAAATGTTGATGTAAATTTATGAGTCATTTCACGATATAGAATTTGGGGTAACAAACAATGTATTCGGAAATTTTTTGCACCTGAAGGAGGGGCAGAAAACCACATATATCAACCGCTGGACCTACGCTCGCGCGGCACATGCTCCTATAGAGATACGCCAGAACAGTAGCACCCCAGCTGTACTGGGGTAGCTCATCCAGCTGCTCAAGACAATGAAGAAAGCGCATACTCACTTTGTTCCCCGAGGTGTCCGGAAACAAGACACACCCAAAAAGCAGGAGCAACGCCAACCGAGTGTACCGCTGAATCCAAAGATGCTCTGTCTCGTGGGTAATATCTGGGTGCAATACCGCCATCTGATCTCTAATGAATGACAAAGCCACGCGATTGCCACCCCGGTCACCCTGCGGTCTCGAACCAGTCAACTGCCCCATCATGTCCGCCAACTGTGCACGTGTCATCCCTCTCCAGTGGTGGGGCAGTGCGAAGGCGCGCCCCTCTACGTGCAGTCCATATAAAACCTGGACATCCTGCAGCGTGATAGTAGCCTCTCCAGTGGGCAAGTGAAATGTGTGCGTCTCCGGTCGCCACCGCTCTACCAAGGACGTGATGAGCGACCAATCAAGCTGCATCCGTCCAAGCTGAAAAATGGTATAAAATCTCGAAGTCTGGAGGATCTCTACTACGCGCAGATGGAAACGATGCTCCGCAATAAACTCCCACAAATCATCAGGCCTCCTGGGGCGGAGAGGCTGCATTGCTAGTTGTCCCTCCCAAATATAGGATGACCTATGGTTGCCCTGCAGCACTAGTAGCTGATCCTCGGCAGGTCCAGGATGCGCAGGCGGAGGAAACGCCATGTCGTCTACTATAATTTAAGCAAAATTAATTGTTTGTGTTAGTGTAATAAATTAAATTAAGTATGGGTTCCAGGCTTGATTTTTGACGCCCGGTGCCACCGAATAATTCTTAATTATTATAAGTCTCAATTTCAACATTTTTAGATTTTTATTAACTTAATAAATTAAATTAAGTATGATTTTTGAAATTGGAGATAATAGTTATGTATGGGTTCCAGGCTTGATTTTTGACGCCCGGTGCCACCGAATAATTCTTAATTATTATAAGTCTCAATTTCAACATTTTTAGATTTTTATTAACTTAATAAATTAAATTAAGTATGATTTTTGAAATTGGAGATAATAGTTATGTATGGGTTCCAGGCTTGATTTTTGACGCCCGGTGCCACCGAATAATTCTTAATTATTATAAGTCTCAATTTCAACATTTTTAGATTTTTATTAACTTAATAAATTAAATTAAGTATGATTTTTGAAATTGGAGATAATAGTTATGTATGGGTTCCAGGCTTGATTTTTGACGCCCGGTGCCACCGAATAATTCTTAATTATTATAAGTCTCAATTTCAACATTTTTAGATTTTTATTAACTTAATAAATTAAATTAAGTATGATTTTTGAAATTGGAGATAATAGTTATGTATGGGTTCCAGGCTTGATTTTTGACGCCCGGTGCCACCGAATAATTCTTAATTATTATAAGTCTCAATTTCAACATTTTTAGATTTTTATTAACTTAATAAATTAAATTAAGTATGATTTTTGAAATTGGAGATAATAGTTATGTATGGGTTCCAGGCTTGATTTTTGACGCCCGGTGCCACCGAATAATTCTTAATTATTATAAGTCTCAATTTCTACGCTAAAAGGCTCTACATTTTACTACGCTAAAAGGCTCTACATTTTACTTCGCTAAAAGGCTCTATATTTTACTTCGCTAAAAGATACTATATTTTACTACGCTATAAGGCTCATACAATATGAACATAACATCAACAATACAAATAAACAAAATAAATAATATTATTTAACACAAACAATCAAGTAGCATTTTTGGTCACAAACATAACATAAATTCGGATATCAAATAAATCAAACTGGGTATATAAAAGAAACAAAATTAAACACTAACATAACAAAAATTCACATGGAAACATACTAAACAATACTAATGCATGACTATATGAGTTTCGGCATAAACTAAATTGAAATACCTCGATGTAAATATTATTGAAATCGAATTTTTGCACCCGAAACACGCAATCCAAAACTTCTTTTGTGTGTGGGACCTACACTTCTTGCTCTTTATGGGACGGATGGGGCCAAAATTTTTTTTTTTAAATTGTAGGCGGGGTGGGGGACCAGAAAACTTTGAGTTTGATTTTTTAATGGAGATCGTTGTCTGTGGGAAGAAGACGACCCGTTTTTTATTAGGGCAATTCGTAGTTCAGTACAACGAATTGTAATTCGCAGTACTGTACTACGAAATGTCATAAAAAAATTATTTTTTTTAAAACTGCGAAATGCCTTAACGGCAAAAAATCCGTTAAGCCAATTCGCAGTATAAAACTGCGAAATACCCATTATTGTATCTTTTTTTTTTTAACATCAAAAATGTATTTTATATTCAAAAAATTATTAATTAAGTTTTGGACTCATGTTCATGGTTCGGTTTGGATCGGTTTTTCCCTTAAAAGAAACCAAACCAAGTAAGTCGGTTTTTCAAATATTAGAACCAAACCAAACCAATTAAGTCGGTTTTTTCTCGATTCGGTTTATGTCGGGTTTTGTCGGTTTTTCAGTTTTTTCGGTTATTTGTCGGTTTTTTCTTAAATATAAGATATACAATACCAAACACATATTCTGGCGACCACATTTTCAACGTAACACTATCAAATCAATTGTCCTTTGAGAAATCTATTATTTATCAAAATATATTGATGATAATTGAATCAAAGAGTGATGAATAATACTAACGATTTTTGTTAAATCATTAAGGATGGTAGTGAGATAAATAAGATTCGTCATTCTTTATTAAAGCTCTCGTGTTCAAAATTTAATAAATGCAAAAATTCATAGTAGGAAGCAATCCTTTCAATGAATGTTACACATCCGGATTAATTATACCAAAATACGAATTTTTTTATTTTGTGCCTCATACAACTGACAATAGTTTGTGAGGTCTCTTTTTTGTCTCATAACTGTGTGGTCTCAGATTTTTGTGAACCCAAATATATAAAATATGGGTCCACAAATATGTGGGATAAAAAGATGTCTCACACAATAGTGTAAGTTGTGTGAGACACAAAATAAAATCACTCCCAAAATACAGATGTTAGACATTAGATGAGAAACTTAAAAAATAACTTTCTCTATTTTAATTTTGTTTTTAGATAGCTGATCCCTAATATTTATAGGCGGTTTGGCCAAGTTTTTTTTATTAGTCAAAAGTATTTTTTTTGTCAAAGATATTTTTTTTTCTAAGTTATGGTGTTTGGTCAAACTTTATGAAGGAAAAAAAAGAGTTTTTGAGTAGAAGCAGAAGTAGTTTTTGAGTAGTAGGAAAAAAGTAGCTTCTTCCCAGAAGTATTTTTTTTTGAAAAACACTTTTGAGAAAAATACACTTTGAAACACTTTTTTAAAAGCTTGGTCAAGCACTAATTACTGCTCAAAAGTACTTTTCAAATAGATTAGCCAAACACAAATTGATTTTCACCAAAATTATTTTTTTTTAAAAACACTTTTAAAAAAAAATACTTCTCAAAATAAGTAAATTTTAAAAGCTTGGCCAAACCGTCAATTAATCTCTTTGTTTCATTTATAGAAACAGGCGACCGACAGAGGAAAATCAATTTCAGAGGTAGAGATATTATATTGCTACAAGCATATGGAACTCTTTATTCTAATTTCTAATTCTAATTTTTTTTTTGTTGAGGAATTCCATTTTCTAAATAAGAGATAAGGGAAGCTTGTTTGACTCATTTGATGATGCCACCTAAGGTAATCGATAAGGGTTGTACTGGGACGAATTAGTATTCATCAACTCTTAATTAAAGGTCTTGTACTTAAAATTTTGAATTAATTTTTTTATAATAAAAAACGTTTCTCCCTAAAAAAGATTTTATGCGATAAATCAGATTAGTCAAGACCCTAATATATTGTGATTGGGTCATCTCGTCTTTTAGAACCCAATTCGGGGTTCCGAGGCCTTCAAGACCTCACTTTCTTTCTCCTCAATTTGCGTGCGCAGTCCGTGCGCGTTTCCGGAAAGCCTTTATGTAAAAATTTGAAAAAATATTAAGTTTTGCCTTTAAAATTGATTTAAGTTGACTTCGGTCAATATTTTGAGTAAACGGATCCGGACCCGTGCTTTGACGGTCCGGAGGGTCCGTAGTAAAATATGGGACGTGAGCGTATGCCCGAAACTGAATTCCGAGGTCCCTAGCCCGAGAAATGAATTCTTGAAGAAAATTATTAAACTGGAAATATAATGGTTTTTAGAAATTGAATAATGTTTGATCTTGTTGGTATCGGACCCGTATTTTGGTTCCGTATTTTCAAGTGTTCTTAAGGATTTCATGTGTTTTGGAGTTAAATCCGTAGTTTTAGATGTTGTTTTGGCGATTTGATCGCACGAGCAAGTCCGTATGATGTTTCTAGACTTGTGTGCGTGTTTGGTTTGGATCCCCGAGGGCTTGGGAGAGTTTCGGATAGGCTACGGGATGTTTTGGACCTAGGAGATCTACTGTGTTGCTGTTTCTGGTATGTTTGATACTTTGTGCTTCGCGTTCGTGAAGCAGCTCTCGCGAATGTGAAGTGCAAGCTGGGCTGGGGTAGGGTTTCTTCTACGCGAACGCGAGGCCTTGATCGCGAACGTGGAGCACTGAGGGGTTAGCTCTTCGTGAACGCGACCGACCTTACGCGAACGCGTAGCATATTGGAGGTGCGCTGGGGAAAATCATCGAGTTGCTCTTCGCGAATGCGGTCCCAGGCCCGCAAATGCGATGGTTAGGGGGGATAGACCATCGCGAACGCGAGCATCTCTTCGCGAACGCGAAGAGCCTTCTGGCCGCAATGCATCGCGAACGCGACAGGTCTATCGCGAACGCGATGAAGACCTGTCCAGTGTTTTAAAAACAAAATCAAAAACTGGAATTGGCCATTCTTTCATATTTTCTAAACCAAGGAAGCTTAGAGGCAATTTTCAAGAGACAAGTTCTCCCCCAAAGTGTTGGTAAATGATTCTAAACCACATTCTTCCAATTACCCATTGCTTTTCATCAATTTTCAACCTAAAATCTAGGGTTTCCATGGTAGAAATTGGGGGCTTGGGTAGAATTAGGGATTTTTGTATAATTGGGATTTAGACCTCGATTTGGGGCCGTATTCCGAAACTAATTACATATTTGGGCTCGTGGGTGAATGGGTTTTGGTCCGAACCTTGAGTTTTGACCAAGCGTGGCCGGGGTCAGTTTTTGACTTTTTGGGGAATTGTTGGGAAACTTGTAATTATGCATTGAAATTGATTTCGTTAGCGGTAATTGATATTATTAAGTTAATTATGATTATATACGAGTGGTTCGACGGTGAAAACTAAGGGAAAAGCGGTGATTGAGGCTTGAGTTCGGCCGTGTAATCGAGGTAAGTGTTGTGGCTAACCTTAGCTTGAGGGATTAGGTGTTGTTGCCTTATTTGCTACGCGTTAAGTTGTTGAGTACAACGTATAGGTGAGGTGACGAGTATCTATACGTTGTTGTCAGGTCATAGCATGCGAGTGAGTCTTATACTTGTGACTGTTGTGTTTCTTTATACGTACTGTTCATGCTTAAACTGGTTATTCTCCATGTTAAACAAGTCTTATTATATTTTCCTGGTATTGGATAATGGTTGAGTAATGACTCAAGTTAAGATTTATGTTGTGAAGTTAAATGTTGAAACGAGGTTGTTTAATTGATAATTCCCTTGTTGGGTTGTTATTGTTTCTGCTGTTTGGGTGAGGA